TGTGTCTGTTTCTTATAGGGACATACTGAGTCTATTTACAGAGCAATAATGAAAAAAGACAGAAAATGACACAAAAAAACTCTTGACAGAAAGGGAACAGGAGTGAAATAGTTTGAGAGAGGCAGTGCGAGTGGAAAGAAAGTGGAACAGGGAAACAGAGAAATTAAAAAAAACAAAACGAAAAAGGGGTAAATGAGAACACAGAGAGAGAGAGATAGATACCATTCATTTCTGCCATCTAATATCAGTCTGGTGTTATTAAAGAAAGGCATCATTTTATTAATCAAAACTATTTAAAATGACCATTGTACAGCTGAAACTTAATTCAGTTTTAATGGTCAATTTCTAGTGTTTTAAGTCGAATGTGATATAAAATGCTCTTAAAATTCGAAGTCTGTTTTTTATAGCTTTAATCTTGATGTATATATTACTATATACACCGATCAGCCATAACATGTTATGCATCCCCATATGCAACAAACTGTGATGCACTGTGTGTTTTGACCTCTTTTTTTCAGAACCAGCATTAACTTTGTTTGCAGACCGGGAACACCCCACTGACAGTTGCCATGATAACCGGATAATCAGTGTTATTCACTCTACCTGTCAGTTGTCATAATGTTATGGCTGATTCGGTGTATATTCTCATATGATTTTTTTAAAACACTAATTTGCCATGACATCTAGAGAGTTTCAACTTTCATGTAAACTAAAGAACTACACATTCAGATACGTGAGGTCAAACATTTAAAGAGATCAGTACAAAACAACACGTCATGATGGTCAAAATAGCCTTCTTGTAATGGTTTAGGTTTTTTTTATTTCCTTCATGGTAAAATTCTGCAGCAGCGTTATGTAACAGGCTCCCAGTGCAGTGTTGTAAGTCTTGTCTTTAATATTAAGATTCAGCCCAGGTCTCATGCATATCTGTCTTCCAGCCTGCTTTCAGCATTCTTCTCTGCTGTGTCTCTATAGTAACGGGTAGGTAAGTGAATGAGAGCTGGACAAAGTGAGCTGTGTAGGGCTGAGCGTGGGCTGCACCACTGCACAACACATCACACTGCTCTGTGCAATAGAAGACACTCACACAGTATTTGTAAGCGTCTGTCAGCGCAGGCATGTCTGCCTCCTCCACATCCAGCCCGTCTCTGTCTTTTCTGACTTACCTCTGCTTTACTGCTGTTCCCATTCTGCTGGATTTGTCTTTTTTATCCTATTATCAGTAATAAAGGGGAGATCAACAGTTCATCCTCTGCAAGTGTATAGATCATCATTACATTGTGTATCATTGTATTTTTTCATGTTACTGACCAACTACTTTGTATCACTTGGAAATTGTCCATCATACAAAATGTTCTTAAATTCAGAATGAGGATTTATCTATGTTTCTGAACCCATATTACAAACATATAACCAGCATGCACTAAAAACCTGATAATAACCAGGATACTAATGCGCATGTAAACACACTCAGTGCTGCAGTTATATTGAAGAACTTTATTTGCATTCTTTATTTCATTTTCTGTTACAGTGAAGTCACTCACTTAAAAGGTCCCCTGTCTTATTTAAGCCCATAATATCTACGTGTAGGCTTAAACAGTCTGGAGGCTTAATGCTTCTCTCTTAATGGGTTGTGATTGAAAATGTACTGATTGAAATTTTATTAACATGATGTGAAACAAAGCTATGTTAAATGGTATATCCTGCTGCCTGGCCTACAAGTGCAAGACAGTGGTGGAAAGAAACATTTCCTCAAGTTTTTCCCCCTGATTGTAAGTGCAATTGTGTGTTACTTTTACTTTACTTGAGTAATTACACTTTTAATTCTAGTTTAAACTTTAAGAGATATTATACATTTTAGTCCACTAAATTAATTTGACAACTTTAGTTAACTTATTACTTTTCCAGTTAAGTTTAACTTTTTACTGTTAGAGATTAAAGCAGGGAATCCCAACCATTTTGGCTTGTGTCCCCTCCCTTGTCACATTTCATCTATGAGTTATTAGCAGTTCCACCAAAGAAATGTTTCCACTCTAAACTTCTCAGATGTTTTAATTTAAATAACTGTTAGACACTCAAAGAGGTAAAAATCAATATTACACAAAGCTAAGATTAGAGAAAGGTCTAAAAAAATAAACATATTTGTGTAACAGAACTTTATTTTTTGTTCTTTATCATTACATGAATCGTCTTAGATTAATCTTGTGACCCCCAGGCTGGGAGCCACTGATGTAAACTACTTAACTATATATAAAGTAGTTAAATGTAGCTCTAGTTCAACTAACAGTAAAATGCTGCTTACACCTGATGGATCTGTATTAACAATCTAATAATATCACTTCAGTCGCAGGGGATATTTGATTACAGAACCAGTACTGATACTCTAATTATATTGTACTGATAAAGCAAAGAACTTTGGTATTGTCAGCAAATTATAATTCTTAAGTAGGAATCCAATTGCAAAACCTTTGCTTGTAATGTAATGTATGAATATTTTGACATTAAAAACTTGTACTCAAGTGAAGGATCTGAATAATTCTTCCACCACTGGTGAAAGAGAAGGACAGTGAACATTAGGTTTGTAACTTAATTAAGACAACATCTTTACCAGTATGTGTACAGTCCAGAGTTTACCTCACCGTCTTGGAAAAGGATTTTCCCTGACTGAACATTCGTCATCTGCCCTCGAATGGAAAAAATACCAAATCTAGATCAACCTGCTAATCTCTTTAACTAGATTACTCCAGCGTGAAGTTGCAGTAAGAGGCAGTCCATCGCCACTTTTACATTGCAGGGAGGAGTCAGACTCAGTAGGGGAAAAAAATATTGATTCACTTCATAGTTCAATTCATTGAAGAGTGAGTCATCTACTGTCATATTACATACTGTATATGTTATATAACTACCGGTATATGCTGCTGTGTTTACACTTTTTAGATTTAAATATCAGTTGTTATACAATATGAAATGATCCAGAACAGTAGACTAATTCCTTCATTCACCACACACCTACACAGTGTTCATTGTCATTTTCTCTTCTTATTTTGCCAGTAAATCACTTCACACCACACAAATCTGCATGATTATTCATCCATTTAGTTTTATGTAACCACCAAAATCTGACCCTGGATACCGAAGTATAGAGGTACTCCAATCCCAGACCATTATCTAAATTGAAGACATTTCAGAAGCAAACAATGACCTGTTTCCTGTCCTCCAGCTTTAATATTTGTCACATTCAATACACGTTTAACTCATATTATACATTAAAAGTGTATACACCAGGCTACATGCTCATAGTATGGGAACTAATAAGAAACCAACTGCTGGAGAATCCTTAGTTAATGAGTAACTCCTAATAAAATTGTATAGCTAATGATTAGTTGATGATAACTTAATAAACAAGTGAGGAACAAATCAGGAACTTCTTCAGAATTGATGGATCATTAATCAGTCACTATATAGATAATGATCAATTACTAGAGAACAGAGTAGGAGATCCTATATTAAAGAATCATTACATCATGATTAGTTCAGGAATATCTGTGAAGTGATCATACTGACTACTTTCTTGGTAAGTCATTCCTGGTTTACTCTGAACCAGCCAATGAACGGCACAAAACTAGTTACGACTCAATCATTAATTACTTAAACATCACTCTCTGTTTTTTGTGCATCCATTAAATAAGTTTACAGTTAGGAGTGTTAACAGCTCGTGGTTGGATAAGGAATTAAAAGACTATAAAGGAAAGGGATCAAGCAAAATTAACAGCAATTTCATCTAGTCTTAAATCAGATTGGCAAATATCAGAAAATTGCAGTTGGTTCAGAATAAAGCGGAACATTTAGCTCTTTCTTGTGTGATAAGAACAAATGTGTTTAGAGTGCATGGATGTCTGATGAATATATTACTGTATTCACTGATGGTTTTCATTAAAAATGTCATAGCAACAAGACAAGACTCTATGTTTTACAAAA